ACCACCCCTTTGAGGGTGGGCATGCGTTTCAAAGGAAAAAAATCCATCATGATTAAGGCCATGAGGCTGGATGGTCGTATGTAACGACCACCCCTTTGAGGGTGGGAATGCGTTTCAAAGGAAAAATCCATCATGATTAAGGCCATGAGGCTGGATGGTCGTATGTAACGACCACCTCTTTGAGGGTGGGCATGCGTTTCAAAGGAAAAAAGCCATCATGATTAAGGCCACGAGGCTGGATGGTAGTATGTAACGACCACCCCTTTGAGGGTGGGCATGCGTTTCAAAGGAAAAAATCCATCATGATTAAGGCCATGAGGCTGGATGGTCGTATGTAACGACCACCCCTTTGAGGGTGGGCATGCGTTCAAGCAAAAATCCATCATGATTAAGGCCATGAGGCTGGATGGTCGTATGTAACGACCACCCCTTTGAGGGTGGGCATGTGTTTCAAAGGAAAAAAACCCATCATGATTAAGGCCATGAGGCTGGATGGTCGTATGTATCGACTACCCCTTTAAGGGTGGACATGCGTTCAAGCAAAAATCTATCATGATTAAGGCCATGAGGCTGGATGGTCGTATGTAACGACCACCTCTTTGAAGGTTGGCATGCGTTTCAAAGGAAAAAAGCCATCATGATTAAGGCCACGAGGTTGGATGGTCGTATGTAACTACCACCCCTTTTGAGGGTGGGCATACGCCCAAAGGGAGATACACATTGAAAACTGAAAGACATGCTGACATTATATTCAAGATTCATCTCAATTACCTCATGGAAGAGCTACATAAATACATCTAATCAAGTCATCACAAGCGTTATTGAAAGTAGAAATGAAATCAAATAAAACATTGCCATTTCAAAGAAAGACCACGAAGTTCATCAAAATACACAGATGTCAAAAGAAAAAAATAATAACATACAACACAAACTAATCTATGGAGGCGGGGCAGCAGCAGAGTCGGCGCTGCTCGAATTAATGTTTGGATCAAGAGGAGTAATACTAGAGGTGGAATCGCAGGCATCATCGAGAGGACGCTGTCGGATAGACTCAACTAAAGCGGCCAACATACGAGCAGGAGGAGTTAGACCATCGGGCAAGGCATATGTCTTCTTGAGTATATCTGATCGAGCCAAGGTTCTCTCGAGCAACCCAGACCACCACTCATGTTCGAGTGTCAAGGTTGGATCACCCTGGAATCTAGGAGGAACCTTTAGCAAGACATCCCAGATAGCCAAGGGATCGAGTTGCTCGAAATCATCCTCAGCGATTTGCTCGCCTACCTTCTGAAGGGCAAACTGAAAACAGTCTACCCCGAAATCTTTAACCTCCTTCAGATACTGTGGCGATTGCACGAAGTCGGCCACCGTTTGGGCGCGATACTCTTTGAGGAAGAGTTGCCTGTCGTGGTGTAATATCCCGATATTTTATCTGTAACGCCCCACTTTTATTTACCAAAAATCAGAATAAATTTTTCGAAATTTATTTTAAAACAATATTTGAGGCGCTACTCTTTTTCAAAACAATAGTCAATACTCATCAATTTCTCAATACTCGACATTTATCAATACTCATAATCGATAATAAAATCCCAATAA